CACTAAACTATAAAAATATAGAAAATTACTACCACTGTTTTTTTCTTTTCAATAAAAAAATTTACAAAACATAAATATCAGTAATATTTCGCTTGCCTTTAAAATTTAAACATATTTTAGCTTTGCCTGAAAAGAATATTGATGACGTCCTTTAAACCACGTATTTGCAGATATATTAAAAGAATAAAATATAATATATACATTAAAAAATAAAGTTCATTATACCCAGAAAAGTTTGCAAGTTCTCTTTTTTAACATATATATATATATAAATATATATATTTCAAACAATATATTGAATATATATATATAGAAACAAATATCTATATATATATATATATATATATCCAAAAAATGAACAATATGTCTCATTAAAAACCTGAACAAGAAACTATTGTGTGTGTGTTTTTATTTAATTTTTCTTGTGTTCGACATGAACTTTCTTTTCTGGAAAAAGGATATAAAAACTGATAAAGAGAAAATGTTTTAATACTTTTATTCAGATGAAAAAATAATGGATAGCTAGATAATAAAAAAAAAAAAAAACAACTTTTAAAATATTAATGGTGTTAGAACAAGGTCACAATGTTAACTGGGCAAATCGGAAATTAAAAACATCTCTAGTCAAAACACTGAAATTAACATAGGAACATAATTTAAGGTCGACCAGGCATGTACACTCAATTAAGCTGGAAAATTTAATCATCCTTGATAATGGCTAAATGTGATACTGAAAAAAAGTTCTTCGGAACTATAAAATATTTTTACAGTTTTTACAGACTCTTTGTCCAGAAAAGAAAATTTTCTTGTTCAAACACAATTGAAAAATTTAAAATGACACATTTAACCGTAGTACCTTGTCTGTTTTTTTAATGAAACATTTGACAAACGAAGGATTGCAGCCTAAATATAAACTATATATATATATATATATATATATATATATATATATATATATATATATATATATATTAAACATAAGTTGTTTTATTGAAATTGACATGACAAAAGATCGGAATTGCCATTTAAATCATTAACCTCTATATTTGTTTTTGTATGAATGATCCATATAATTATAAATTGAACTGCAATTTTTAAAATTTCAAAATATATATACAATATATATGCATGTGTGTGTGTTTGTGTGTGTGTGTGTGTGTGTGAAAATAAAATATTTATTTTATAGGAAAAGGCTTTCTGTTAGGTAAATAATCCGCGCTTTCTTTATTCTTTTTGTCATTATTTTAAAAAAACAGTGAAAAATTCTGTAGATACAAAAGCAGAGCCTAAATTTAATTATTTTATAATTTTATCGCAATGGAATCAATATTTTTAAATATATATATATATATATATTATATATATATATATATATATATATATACGTTATATATAGTGGCCCATCCATTGTAAAACATTTCCAAATTTAAATTTTAAGCAAGAATTGAATCATTCTAGTTAAATTTTATCTTTTCAAATATTTTATATATATATCATAAAGGTTAATTTTAGTGGGATACCAATATTTGATAATTTTTACTGTTTATTTCAAAAAAGAACGTTTTAATTTTTTCACGGAGATGGCCATTATACATTGAAATAAATCTTTTTTTAAATCATTCTCTCCGGCAAAAGAAACCACGAATAGCTCCTGGATTAACCGGCTAACGAAGTGTTTTCGAATCAAATAAAGTTAATCTTTAGCCTTTTTGCTCAGTTTCGTAAGGAAGAAAAGGAAAATAAATCAATATCTAAAGAATTAATGGAATTTTATTTATTAATCCATCATATTTTATTACTTTAAACTTTTTTTTTTTAAGTGGGTACTCATATTGGAGTAGACGCTCCTTTTATTTTGAAACACTGTTTTAGATGTCCTATCTTGAATCTTAACTCCACAGATCGCACGCAGATATATATATATATATATACCACCTCAATAAATCCAAGGATAAACTTCCTCTCGCCGTTCACTAAACTATAAAAATCTATGTAAATTAATTACTAACCACTGTTTCTTTTCTTTCAATAAAATATTCTTTCTTTCAAACAATAATTCTTTTCTTTTTCCCTCTTCATTCTTTTTTCTTTTCCTACCAGTAATATTCTTTCTTTCTTTAGAATGCATATTCATTTAAACTTTATTATACTCTTCATATTCTTTTCTTTCTTCTTACCTAAGATATATTCTTGACGTCCTTTAATTTTATCTCAAGATACTTTTTTTTTAAACCTCTTTCTCTTAAACTTCAATAAAAGTTGAACCAACCATCGAATTCACACTCGAATTTGAAACAAATAACTCTATACCTTTCCTTGATATCCTAACAATAATAAATTAGAATTTGTCTATATTTGTCTGAACATTGAAATCATATGTGTGTGTGTGTGTGTGTGTAACGAAATATGCGTGTATAATGGAATAATTAAGAATGTTCAAACATGGATGTTGTAGCGTCAAGGTGAATGATACACAGAGAAGAATGAGTGCTTAATAGATTTATTCAGCACCAGTATCCGGTGATAACAGATATATCCAAAAAAAACACAGAACAATAAGTTACAAAGCAATTAACAAGACAACTTACAAGGATTAGAGGAGGGGCAAATGTTTTATAGCTAAACGAAGTAAGATCAGTCCGAATATTAATCAGCTTAGTATCAACTTATTAATCAGCTATTGAAGTCCTTAAACGTAGACTATTTAAGACTATGAACCAGGCCTTCTGGTAGACTACTGAAGGGGTGCTAGGCTATTCTACAACAACAGATCTTTCTTTCAATTTTTTTAATTACATGACCATTCTCTTTTTCTTTAAAATTTCTTTTTTTTCTCTTGAATTCTTTTTTCTTTCTTTCTTTTTTTCTCCCACAAAATGTTTTTTTTTGCATCGTATTTTTTACAGTACAGCTGAATGAATTGCGGTAGTAAAGAATAAACTGAAAATGCGTCTATATATGTGCATATATATGTGACACATTTATCTATATTGTTTTAACTGTGTGTATGAATTCCAGTCGGAAACCTTTCTTTCTAAATCTTCAAAATTCTTTTTAATTACGGCTGTCTCTTCATACAAACTTTTCTAACTTTGTATTTTGTAAAATTCTTTTATACTTTGAATAAATATGCGAAGATGTGAGTAATTAATTGTGAAAATTTAAGTTTGTCATGTGTGACAAATGATCGAAGATTCTTTTGGTCAAAGGTTAACTGAAAGACTTGTTAGCGAACAAGAATTGATTATATTTATTATAAAATAGAATCCCGGCTGAATGTAAAATTTAGATTTATTAATATCAAGTTTATTGGCAAATAGATATATTTCAATATTCCTGTTAAGGAAGAAAAAAATTGTTGATCATATCCTGAAGTTGAGCCTCTAAAATTTCATTTTAAGATATTTTACCGTCTGCCAATTCAAAGAATACCGCGCTTTCTGATTAGTGTGTTCTTTTTGTGTCTAATTTTTTCTTAAACATGGTATTCTCAGTGTCCTTCTGTAGAACCACATTCCCGTCTCGTATAGGGAGACTGACATTCAATTTCTCTTCAATTCTTTACTCTTTTTTCTTTCTATTTTTAACAAGATTTTCAGTTTATTAATACTTTTCTTTTCTTTTTTGAAGGCACTTTTTCATTGTTCCTTTATGACTTTTTCTGGATTAATTTCTTTCTCTTCATATTCAATTTTAAAACATTTCCCAAATAATAAAATTTAAGCAAGAAGTGAATCATTCTAGTTCGTGTTTTCTTTCTTTTTCTTTTTTTTTTTAATCATTTTACTCCAAGCTTTCTTTCTCTTGATAATCCCACGAGGACGAAGTGGGTTACTAGGAATGAAAAAGATTGCGAAGTTTTCGGAGGGGGAGAAAAGTCAATAAAAGAACGGGTTTAAGGAAGACGGAAGATGGCGCTGCATTGAAATTATTGATGATCTTTTTCTTAGATGTAAGGGAAATTCAAGAAATCTTTCTTTGCGAAAGAAAAGAAACGTTTAGAATCTTTTTCTTTTCATATTCTTTTTCTTAACATCTAGCTAATTCAACAGTAAAATTTTGAAATCTAGTAGTCAATCTAGTTTTCTTTCAGCAATCCGTCCAAAAAGTTCTTTCGGTTGACGGACCAAGTCTTTCTTTTTTCTCCCAATAAAAGAACAACTTGCCATGAAGGTATTTATAGAAAAAACAAAGGGGACCCACGTTATGTTAGTGAAGTCAGGACCGATTATATTACAGACCCCTCTTTGGATTTTATCGGTAAGACAAATTTCTCTTCAAGATAGGGCAGCCAGAATTAAACTTCACGGACAAATAGTAAATATTCTTTAAAACACGATTCTTTCAAGAAAAAATTTGTTTCTTTCTTTCGAAACTTTTTCTATTTTCTTTCATTTTCTTCATTTCTTTTTTCTTTCTTTTTTTCTTTTCTTTTCTTTTTTTTTCAGATTTTCTTTTTCTTTCTTTCTTTTCTTTCTTCATATTCTTTTTTTCTTTCTTTCTTTCTCTTGAATATTTTTTCTTTCTTTCTCTTCATATTATTTTTTCTTTCTTTATATATATTTATATATTTTCTTTTCTTCTTTTTCTTTTTCTTTTTCTTTCTTTCTTTCTTTCTCTTCATATTCTTTTTCTTTCTTTCTTTCTTTCTCTTCATATTCTTTTTCTTTCTTTCTTTCTTTCTCTTCATATTCTTTTTCTTTCTTTTTTTTTCTTTCTTTTCTTTCTTTCTCTTCATATTCTTTTTCTTTCTTTCTTTCTTTTCTTACAGCCCATTTGTTTTTTTCAGAGAATTTTTTTTCCTTTCTTTTCTTTCTTTTTTTTTTTTCCATATTATTTTTCTTCCTGGGTTTTGTTTCATTTCTTTAGAGAGGAAAAGGAATTTTTTTTGTTTCTTTATTACAACCTTTCTTCATCTTGTTTTTGCCGATTTGAGATGAATATTTCGATTACTCACCTATACGTCGATTATTGATTTTCGTTTGTTATCAATACTTTGAATACTTCTTGAACGTAAATTACAAAAAATATAGAAAGAAATGAAAATTATAATACACACACACACACACACACACACACACACACACACACATATATATATATATATATATAATCATTCAAACACCCCTCACTGGGGGAAATGCTGTTACATAAGCTGGAATGACCAATCAAAATACAAGTATATGAGAATTCAAAAGACTTGACAAACTTGACACGATATATTTAATCAACTTTCCTAGCCACAGATATAGCATTTGATTCAGTGTAATAGTAATCCCCTACAAATCAGCGGGAGAACTAGACAAACGAAAGCCATATTTGTTCATCCAAAAGAAAACCGTGTGAAGTGGGGACACCCGCCTTAATGTGAAGTGATCCTGAAGCGTGCCCGTTCAAGACAACCTTCATTATAGGTTTTTTTAGAAACGATTTGATTAAGCCAAATACTCGTCTGGAGAAAATCGTAGCCTGTGGAGAAGGCGAGTATGCGAAACCTTGTCGGACATCTTTGAGATATCTAGTGCCACCGCCGCAGCATCGCCGTTCTTAATAAACAAATTCAGGGATAGCCGTTCAACCATCAGTAGCAGACCTGGAAAAAGCGAAAGCTATATTGTTTATCCGGAAGAATGTCGTGTAAAGTTAGATGCCTAACCAATTCGATGTTGATTATATCATTTAGTAATTTGCCAAAAACAGATACAAGGGCGATAATTCACGGAATCAGAAGGTTCGCTACTGTTCTTAAAGACAGGGATTAAAGAGCAAATTGCAAAACAAGAAGCAGTAAGGCATTTTTTGTAGAATTTGGGGAGAACATGGGCCAATTTCGGAGTGCATTTTCTTCGGAGAATTACTGAAATGCCGTCAGTAAATAATTTTGAATTTCTTTCTTAAATTTTAGTTTTTTTTTTAAGTAACTATCTAAATATTCCACATTATCTATAAAAAAATCTACTCATCGATTATCTATTGTGAATTAATCTGAGTAGTAATGTCACGGGCCAGCAACCAAAAGAATTGAAATTTCTTTAGATCACTCTGTAGAAAGAAAGACAATTGTTTCCAGCCAGAAGAAACGATTATCTTCTGCAGCAGCAAATCTATCATGGAACAAATCTCGCGAGATTTAATTTCGCGAGATTTTGGGAAGAAAAGTCAGTACATTGAACTCTATTTGTAATGAACGTAATTTCTTTTATGTTTTTTGGCGGAGGGTGGGGGGTAATCCGGAAGTTTTTTCCTTTCCCTCAGGGATACCTTTTTCCAAAATTACTCGTAGATAGAACGACTTTATTCATGAGAACGGCGAACATCCAAAGTTGGACACTGAATCTATATGATTAACTTAGAATGACATTTGTTTACTTGGAGTGTTTTTCCTGTAGGTAACATACCCATTTATATATATATATATATATATATATATATATATATATATATACATGGTGTGTAATTTATATATATATATATATATATATATATATATATATATTATATAGGCTGTATATCTTCATCCAAACATGTTTCATTGAATAATATAGACATATTATGTCGAGATTTTTATACTGATCCTTGTCTAATCAGTTTCTTGAATTTAAGACGAAACTCATCAAGAAAAAGTACAAAAAAAAAAAAAAATTTTTTGTTAAATCAATTTGTTTTTTAAAATCTTTTCCCTTACGGTCATCTTCAGGGTAAATATATCATCATCAAATACAAATACAAACACACACACACACACACACACACACAAATATTATATATATATATATATATATATATATATTATAGATTATTATATAAGATTATATATAAAATTATATAAGATATATCTTACTGTTTTTTTTTATATATATATATATATATATATATATATATATATATATATATATATTTAATTTAAAAAAAAACTTTACAGCTCCAATTTGTTAGAATTTATTTCACCAGAGAATTTTATTTTTCTCTGGATCTTTAAGACTTTTTGTCCACTTTCAAGGTGAAACGAAATATGAATTTAATATTTACACTTTTGATGTTAAAAGGCAGTATTTAAGCTTATATAAGTTGACATCGAAGAGGGTGGTGAGGAATATTGTGAGAGACATGGTCGAGCTTTTAGAGAGGGAAAGGAGAGTTTTAAAATTGATTTTATTTTATTACAATACTTAATATTGAGGAAGGAGGGGTTAAGAACAGACATTGACTAATTTTCATCGGTCAACTCAATGGAAATAAAAAACGATAAGGGAAAGTGGAAAAGCGAAAAAAAAAGGGGTAAAAAGAAGAAAAAAAAGATGTAGGGGATTAAAATTTGAGGAAATAAAAGGAAAAGATATAAGAGATGTGAACGTAGGGTTTTTGGGGAGGAAGGGGAGGGTGGTATAGCTTTAGCAATTTAGATAAACACAGATGCTAACGTTTGATACTAATTTAAATGTTTAAATAACATATTTATGGTATAATTTTTAAATAAATAATTTTATATATATATATATA